AACAGGTGGAAAGACCAGAGAAAGCAAAATTCAGGGAAATCTCCACTAGTTTTCAGTTTCAGAGGTGCAGAGCCTCAGAGCTGGAGAGCTGTTGCCATCCAACCTAGAATCCTGCAGGAAACCACTGCCAACTCAGAGCCCTCCATCAACCCAAGGCAGGTAAACTGGCAGGGAAATGTAGTCTCTGCTGTAAAACCTCATGCTTGTGAAGTTGACTGGGATGTTTTAAAAACATAACTGCACATTCTTTCATATTCTTTTCATCAAGAGATGTGGCCTGTGTCCCTTTCCCTGGAATCTGAGTGGGCAGTGACTGCTTCAACCCATGGGGTATGGAAATAAAGCTATGTGACTTATTTTTTGAATACATATTTTTATTTTTATTCATTTATTTTTTATTTTACTTTAAGTTTCGGGATACATGTGCAGAGCATGCACGTTTGTTACATAGCTATATGTGTGCCATGGTGGTTTGCTACACCTATCAATCTGTCATCTAGGTTTTAAGCCCTGCACGCATTAGCTATTTGTCCCTCCCCTCATCCCCCGACAGGCCCCGGGATGTGTCATTCCCCTCCCTGTGTCAATGTCTTCTCAGTCATCAATTCCCACATGGAATACAAAGCTATGTGACTTCTTTTTTTTTGACTTGCTCTGTAACCAAGACTGGAATGCAGAGGTGCAATCTTGGCTCACGGCAACCTCCGCCACCTGGGTCCTGGTTCAAGCAATTCTGCCTCAGCCTCCCGAATAGCTGGGATTATGGGCACATGCCACCATGCCCAGCTAATTTTTGTATTTTTAGTAGAGATGGGGTTTCACCATGTTGGCCAGGATGGTCTTGAACTCCTGACCTCGTGATCTGCCCACCTCGACATCCCTACGTGCTGGGATTACAACTTCTAATGTGAATTCATAAAAGAGCATGGAGCTTCTGTCTTACTTGCTGAAAACATGCATTTCTGGAACCTTGAGCTACCATGTCTGACTACACTGAGGCCACCATACTGTAAGGAAGCACAATTCATAAGGAGAGGCTTATAAAGAGCAGGCAAGAGCGTCAGAGAAGGCAATGAGACAGTGGAAGCCAAGGGAGAGGAGAGGTGATGGTGGAACAGAGATAGGAGTGAAGCAGGCCATGATCCAAGTAATTCTGGCAGCCTCTAAAAGCTGGAAAAACTGAAGAAACAGATTTCCCCTGGCACCTCCAGAAGGAACAGCCCAGCTGATCTAATTCAGACTTCTGACCTCCATACATATGTTGTTTTAAGTCACTAAGTTTGTGGTAATATGTTGCAGCAACAGCAAACTACTATTGTAATGCCTGACTTGCAGTAGACTCTTGGTAAACATTTGTTAGCAAGTAAACAAGTAAACCAGATTATAAATATCTCTTCTCACAAGAAAATGTGAATTTATATTCCAGGTACTTTTAAAAGATGAATTTTTTCTTTGCATTCTAAATATTTGGTATTATGATGTTTTCAGGTCTCTTGAATGCCTAAACCCAGATTAAATGCACACAAGAGCAAGCCAAATAGGAAAATGCTGTATTTTTAAAAAATGTATAATAGCCAAAATTTATTGAGCACTTACTATGTGCTTTATTTTCTCTCACTTAATCTTCCCAACAACCTTATGAGGTCCAGCACTATTACCATCATTGATAGAGAAGTTAAATAAGTTGTCCAAAGTCTCAAGTAATAAGCAATAAGGTTGTAAACCCAGGCTGACTGCCTCCAAAGTGCAAGCATGTAACCACTGCTGTGTTCTGCTTTGGCATGAGAAGAGACAACAGCACAGGACCATGGAAGGTCTGCTGCACTGGGAGTCAGCAGGCAAATATCTAGACCCGCTTGTGTCACTCATTCACTGGGGGGACCTGGGGAAGTCCCTTAACTTTGAAGCCTAGTTCTTTCTTCTGAAAAATATGGAGGTTGGGCCAGATGACCCTTAAAGTCTCTTTCAAAACAGGGTCTCTGTATCTATTTCCAACTTAGAAAAAAATCACATATGCTAAGTGGGTGGAATCAGGACAGGATAGCATCATCCTCTGCATGTACTGAGGAATGTGTCTTAGTGAGCACCTGGTCAAGTTCCAGTATCCAGTTGCTCATTTTCTCTCTCTACCACCACTGTGTAATTATGGGAACAATGATGATAAATATGGTAGACTGACTGCAAAAATGGCCCCAAATCTCCACCCCTCCCTGTGGTTGCCATGCCCTTTGCAATAGGAACTTGCAGCTCTTCCTATTTGGAGATAGAAACTATTTCCTCCATCCTTAAATATGGGCCTTCCTTGTGACTTGCTGTATACAACAGAATGCCATGGAAGTGGTACTGTGACCATCGTGAGCCTAGATCTTGCATTCCACCTGTCTCTCTCAGAACCTTGTTTTACCATTTAAAAAAAAAAAAGCCCAGGATAGCCTGCTGTATGGTGAGAGATGCGGTGAAGCAGATCCAAGTAGCTGGGTCATCTAAGACAAAACTGTGCTAGATTAGCCAGCCCCCAGCCAGTTTGCCAGCTGACCACAGATACATAAATGAGCCCAGCCAAGATCAGCCAAGACCAATCCAGAATAGCAGAACCACTCAGCCAACTGTAGACCTGTTGCATGGCACTGTGGTTGTTTTTTAAGTAGCTTCATTGTGGCAAGAGATAACTGACACAGTGAACTTTCAGGTTTCAAGGTGAGGCAGAAAGTCTAGTATATAAATTATTATTGTACTAATAGGAACAATTAATCAGAAGAAAATTAATCTAAGTTACAAGTGACAGAAAGCTGACACAGACTTGCCCAAACACACAAGGGGATATATGGCCTTATGTTACTGAAAAGTCCAAGCATGGACAAAATTTGGGTAAATCAAGTCAATCATCAGGACTTGACTCTCTCTCCAGTGCTTGGTTCTACTTTTATTTGCCTTCATTTTGTTCTTGTGCAAGTCCACCAGCCTCCAGCTTATATTCTAGTGTATTAGTCACTAAGTAGAAAGAGGGTTTCTGCTTCCCAACAGTTTAAGTAAAAGCCCTGGAGCCAACTTTCACTGGACTGGCTAAGATCACATACCTATCCCTGAGTCAATCAGTTTTTGCATCCATGAGGAAATGCTCCCATTGCCTGGACCTGGGTCATACATCCAACCACAAAGATAGGGGGTGTGTTGGTATCAAAACCACATGGGTTGAGAATGAACAAAGTAGGGGAGTTCCCTAAAAGAAAATTCAGGTAGTTACTATACAAAAAAAGAGGAAATAGATAAAACTGACATATTTCTACTCTAATCCTCCTTATTGCTAATGAATTAAAGAAAAAGAGAATGATGACTGCTCAGTGGTGACTCTTTTTCAGAACAGTAGGCAATTCCCTCTTACCTGTAAAAACATGTCCACATTGATGACAAAGTAGCTGTTGTAATGCACAATGCTTCTCCCACTCCACCCAGATAAATGGTTTAAAAACCAAATTTTGATTACATCTCTCTATTAGATAAGTGGATAATAGGACCAAGTGGCCACACACATCAAAGGAAAGGGCTTGCAAAAATCATAAGAATGATTGGGTATCTGAACTTGATCTCAAAGACTCTTGAAATGTGCCCATGAGCTATCTGAATCACAGAATGGCTTCTAAGTCCTCCTAATTGAAGATGTAGCATAGTGCAGTGGTGAAAAGCACAGATTCCAAACACAGACTGTGTATGTTTGGGCCCCAGCTCTGACTACTTTATGAAGATACATGACCTTGGGCAAGTTATTCAGTCTCTCTGTGCCTCAGTTTCCCATCAGTAAATAAGGATAACAGAATTTACCTAGTACGAGGAGTAACTGAATCATTATTATGTAAAGCACTTGGAACAGTGTCTGGTAAGTAGTAACAGCTATAAAGTGCCAGCTATTAATCAACTGAGAAGATGCCTGTGGTGTCAAGTCCTTCAGAGAATAAGAATATTTGGCACCATCCAAAAAGGTTTGTGACCTTGGCTGAGTCACTTACTGTCTCTGGAATTATTTTCTTTCTTTCTTTCTTTATAATATGATGCAAATAGTATCTACCCTGCTTACCTCACAAGGCTTGCCATGAAGATTAGAGGACATAATGGATGTTAAATTTTCTAAAGAGCTCAAGGTCATTTATTAATAAGAGACCTTATTTATGCTAAGTATCTCCATCCAGATAATCTGATTTGTATGTAATCAGGGCAGTTTTTCATCCCATGCTATTTTACACAAAGATCATTAGGAAGAAAATCCGCTCCTAACATAAAATAGCGACTCCCCAATCAAACCCAGTTTAAAAGCCACTAGAATTGTCTTATAATTTGAAATATTCATTACCACCTTTTGTACCTAGTATGGATTAAAGTTTATTATAATGAAAAGGGTGTTTAACTGGTGTAAGGGCACCTGGATTCTAGTTTCCAGTTCTGCCATTAATTTCCTATATAATCTTGGGTTAGTCATTTTGTTTCTCCAGGTTTCCTTAGTCTGCAAAATGAAAATTGGAGAAATGCCTATAGTTCAGTGACTGCATAGTTCTTGTGCCAGATAGATTTCTGGGCATGAAGGGGTCTGGTCACTTCTTAGGAGAGCATTACTCATCAGTTGAATTCAATCCCCACTGAGTTTCTAGAAAATACATCTTCCAGGCTGGGCGCAGTGGCTCACACTGTAATCCCAGCACTTTGGAAGGCTGAGGCAGACAGATCACTTGAGGCCAGGAGTTCGAGACTAGCCTGACAACATGGAGAAACCTTGTCTCTACTAAAAATGCAAAACTAGTCAGGTGTAGTGGCACATGCCTGTAGTCCCAGCTATTCAGGAGGCTGAGGCAGGAGAATCTCTTGAATCCAGGAGGTAGAAGTTGCAGTGAACCCAGATTGTGCCATTGCACTCCAGCCTGGGCAACAGGAGTGAAACTCTGTCTCAAAGAAAAGAAAGAAAATACATCTTCCCAGACAATATTTGATTATAAATTTAGTATTTAATAAAGTGAATATGTCCACGAGTATATGTTGAGCCCCACAATGTCTTTGTCTCTGAAATTCCCTATGAATGTAAGCTCAATTCAACTTATAGATGCTCCAGAAGGGCATGGCAGTCTTCCTTTCTCTGGTCCTGTTCCCCTCGTTACACTCTCTTCCATTGTCCTTGCCTTGAGACTCTCCATCAGCTCTTTGCTAAGAGACTATTTCCAGAGTTTTCTATGATGACCTATAAGGCCCTATGTGATCTGCTCCCCTACATCCCCTTTAATTTTATTTCTCTTTACTCACTGTGTGGCAGATATGCCAGGTTTTCGGCTGTTCCTGAACCAGCCTGGAGCTCAATCCTGCCTCTGTGCTTGCTGTATTCCTCTGTGTCTTTATCCAAATGGCCCCACAGCTCACTCTCTCCCTCTGTTTCTGCTTAAATGTCATCTTATCAGAGAGGCCTTCCCTGATCACCTTACATGACATAGAAAGCTCCCCCAACTTTGCCCTGATGCTCCCTGAATTTCATACCAACTAAATGCACAGATGCATAACCAACTAAACTTTGAGATAGGAGTTCTTTTTCTAAAAGATGAATGGAAGAGGCCAGGCGTGGTGGCTCACGTCTGTAGTATCACCACTTTGGGAGGCCCAGGTGGGCGGATCATCTGAGGTCAGGAGTTCGAGACCAGCCATACCCTGTGTCTACTTAAAATACAAAATTAGCTGGGTGTGATGGCACGTGCCTGTAATCCCAGCTATTTGGAAGGCTGAGGCAGGAGAATCACTTGAACCTGGGAGGTGGAGGTTGCAGGGAGCCAAGATCATGCCATTGCATTCCAGCCTGGACAATAAGAGCAAAACTCTGTCTCAAAAAAAAAAAAAAAGATGAATGGAAGAATGAACAATTAACAGCTTCTGCCACACCCTAGTCATGAGCTATATTATCTCCAAGGCACTTATTGCATCTGACCGTCTATAAATTTACATTTTTTTTTGTCTCTCCACACTAGAACCTGAGACCTGTGAGAGTAGAAACATTGCTTACTGCTCTATTTTCAGGCCTTAGGCTGCTGTCTGATATACACAGTAACCACTCAGTCAATATTCATTGAGCAAGTAAACGAATTTTTCTTTTTCAATTGGTGTCTGAGGCACTCACTTTTCTTTCTGACCCACCTTGGATGTCAATAGTTCCAAATTTTCCTGGCTTCTAGTATTCCTGAGATTCCAGTCCAACTTCGGGCTCCCAGGATTCAAGAGTAAGGTGTTATCCTTCCAGATTTCATTTCAGGTGTCTGTAATGTTAAAGAGAGAACTTCAGGTTGAGAGGGAGAAAGAATTAAGAAGAGATACATTTTTTAAAAAAGTAATAGACTTTATTTATTTATTTATTTTATTTATTTATTTTTTTTTTGAGATGGAGTTTCGGTCTTGTTACCAGGCTGGAGTGCAATGGCGCGATCTCGGCTCACCGCAACCTCCGCCTCCTGGGTTCAGGCAATTCTCCTGCCTCAGCCTCCTGAGTAGCTGGGACTACAGGCACCCGCCACCATACCCAGCTAATTTTTTGTATTTTCAGTAGAGACGGGGTTTCACCATGTTGACCAGGATGGTCTCGATCTCTGATCTTGTGATCCCCCCCGCCTCGGCCTCCCAACGTGCTGGGATTACAGGCTTGAGCCACCGCGCCCAGCCAACTTTACTTTTATAGTGGTTTTGGGTTTACAGAAAATTTGAACAGAAAGTACAGAGAGTTCCCATATGCCTACTTTCTCTACCTGCACAATTTTCTTCATTAATAATATGTTGCATGTATCATTAATAATTAGTCATGTATCTATCATTACAGTATTATAAAAATAGTGTCACTGCCCTAAGAATGCCCTGTGTTCCACCTAATCATCCCTCCCTCATTTCTCTCACCTACTCTAGCACCACTGATATTTTTATTGTCTCTATCATTTTAACTTTTCCAGAATGTCATAGTTGGAGTCTTAAAGATGCAGCCTACACAGGCTTTTCAGACTGTTTTCTTTCAGTTAACAATAGCCTGAAAGTTAGCTCATTTCTTTTAATTCCTGAATAATATTCTATTGTCTAAATGTTCAATAGTTTGTTTATCCATTAAAGAACACCTTGGTCACTTCCAAATTTTAACAATTATGAATAAAGCTGCTATAGATATTTGTGTGCAGGTTTTTGTGTGGCTATAAGTTTTCAATTCATTTGGATGAGTACCTAAGAGCACAATTGCTGGATCATATGGTAAGCCTATGTTTTGCTTTCTAAGAAATAGGTAAGTGTCTTCTAAACTGGCTGTGCCATTTTGTTTTCTCACCAGCAATGAATGAGAGTTTCTGCTGCTCTATGTCTTTTCCAGCATTTGGTGTTGTCAGTATTTTGGAGTGTAGCCACTATCACAGGTGTATAGTGGTATCTTGTTATTTTAAATTTCAGTTCTCTAATGACATATGATGTTGAGCATCTTTTCATACTGTATATATTTTCCACTGAGTTGTCTGTTCAGATCTCTCATCCGTTTTTAACTGGGTTATTTGTTTTTTATTATTGAGTTTTAAGGGTGTTTGCATATTTTGAATACAAAACTTTTATAGATATTTTTCCCAGTCTGTGGCTTCTCTTATCATTCTCCTAAGATGCATTTTTAAGCGTATCTTTAAAGATATTCTGTCAACCAGATCAATGCATATGGTATATGAGAGACTGAGAAATGTCCACTCCCTCCACTAATATTGAAAACTAATTACTGGATATACAGAAGAAGTTCTGGGAGCAACTCTAAGTCTATGCATTTGCCTTTACATAATACAGCATTCAAAATATGTATGTGTACATCACTTTTTTGATGGAGGGTTAATTTTGCATATTTTACAGCATTAGTTTTACAAATTTTACAGAGTCACATGGCTAAGTGAACTTCCTAGGAGCAGCACCCAGGTTTTCTGGCTCTTAGTCTGAGATACTTTCCAATCCATCCCACTGAGTGCTATCATCCAAGACTTTGCATTTGACTTTTTGGATTCTTACTCACATATTTGTGTTCAGAGGAAGGCTTAGGCTTCCAATCTTACAAACAACATACAAATCTTAAATTAGTTGCATATGTTCTATATTGTTTTGGTTGCAAATAACAGAATCCAACTCAAATTGGCTTAAGCATCAAAGAGGGAATTAGTGAGCTAAGGTTACTGAAAGTCCAAGGACTGGATGGATCCAGTAAGCCAATCAATACTTATTCTCAATTTCTCTCTCCCTATCCCCTCTGTTTTCCTTTGCACAGGCTTCATTCTCAGGCCAACCTCTCCATGAAGTGACAACAAGGACCACCAAAAACTTCAGGCTTCTATCATCCTGGCAAATCTAAGAAAAAGAAGCACCTTCTTACCTATAGCTTAGATCTAGTAAAAGTTCAGGTCAGGTGCTTGGCCCATCCTGGGGTACCTACCCATGTCTAATCCAATGACTTTGTCAAAGAAATGCAGTCTAGGACACAGACCTTCCCTGGACCCTGGTCTGAACCTTAGACATTAAAAGTGAAGCCTGATTGATTCTTCAAAGGAAAATCAGGATGCTGTTTTCTGAAAAGGGATCCCCAACCCCCGAGCCCCGGACTGGTATAGGTCCGTGGCCTGTTAGGAACTGAGCTGCGTAACAGGAGGTGAGAGATGGGCAAAAGAACATTACCATCTGAGCTCTGCCTCCTGTCAGATGAGCGGTGTGGCATTAGATTCTCATAGAAGCAGAACCCCATTGTGAATTGCGCTTGCAGGGATCTAGGTTGCAGCACTCCTTATGAGAATCTAACTAATGCTTGATGATCTGAGGTGGAACAGTTTCATTCTGAAACCACCCCTACCCCCAATCCCCAGTCTGCAGAAAAATTGTCTTCCATAAAACCAGTCCCTGTTGCCAACAAGGTTGGGGACCACTACTGAAAAGAGAGAACAAGGATATCTACAAATATCTACAACAGCCAAGCATTCATTTATCTGGTGGTTTTTTTTTTGAGATGGAGTCTCACCGTCACCCAGGCAGTGGCATGTCTCAGCTGGAAGCAACCACTGTTTCCTGGGTTCAAGCAATTCTCCTGACTCAGCATCCCAAGTAACTGGGACCAAAGCCATGCACCACCATGCCTGGATAATTTTGTATTTTTTAGTAGAGACAGGGCTTCACCATGTTGGTCAGGCTAGTCTTGAATGCCTGACCTCAAGTGATTCACCTGCCTCAGCCTCCCAAAGTGCTGGGATTACAGGTGTGAGCCATTGCACCTGGCCAATTTATCTAAATCTGCCCCTACTAGTTCATACTCTTAAGATGTGGGATAGTGTGGGGACATGAAAAAGAGCACTGAACATGAAGTTAGAAGACCCAAATTCAACTCTTTCTACCACTTAGCAGTTCTCTGAGCCTCATATCCCTCATTTAAAACAAGGCTACTTATAAAGAACAAAGCGGCCGGGCGTGGTGGCTCAAGCCTGTAATCCCAGCACTTTGGGAGGCCAAGGCGGGGGAATCACGAAGTCAAGAGATCAAGACCATCCTGGTCAACATGGTGAAACCCTGTCTCTACTAAAAATACAAAATATGAGCTGGGCATGGTGGGGTGTGCCTGTAATCCCAGCTACTCAGGAGGCTGAAGCAGAAGAATTGCCTGAACCCAGGAGGTGGAGGTTGCGGTGAGCCAAGATCGCGCCATTGCACTCCAGCCTGGGTAACAAGAGTGAAACTCGATCTCAAAAAAAAAAAAAAAAAAATAGAACAAAGCTAGAGGCATCACATTACCTGACTTCAAATTATATTGCAAAACCATAGTAACCAAAAATATAATGTACTGGCATAAAAACAGACACACAAACCTATGGAACATGATGAAGAACCTAAAAATAAATCCACACATAGTCAACTCCCACTTTTTTTTTTCTTTTTGAGATGGGGTCTCACTCTGCCACCCTAGCTGGAGTGCAGTGGCACGATCTTGGCTCACTGCAATCTCTGCCTCCTAGGTTCAAGTGATTCTTGTGCCTCAGCCTCTGGAATATCTGGGATTACAGGTGTGCACCATCATGCCTGGCTAATATTTTTGTATTTTTAGTAGAGATGGGGTTTCACCATGTTGGCCAGGCTGGCCTCAAACTCCTGACCTCAAATGATCTGCCCACCTCGGCCTCCCAAAGTGCTGGGATTATAGGCATGAGCCACTGCGCTTGGCCAGTCAACTCCTTTTTAACAATGGCATCAAGAACATACATTGGGGAAAGAACTGTGTCTTCAATAAATGATGTTGGGAAAACTGGATATCCACATAAAGAAGAATGAAACTATCTCTTACTATATACAAAAATCAAATCAAAATGACTTAAATACTTAAATCTAAGACCCCAAACTATGAAACTACTAGAAGAAAACATTGAGGAAATGCTCAAGGACATTGGTCTGGGCAAAGATTTCCTGAGTAAGACCTCAAAAGCATAGGTAACCAAGGCAAAAATGGACAGAGATTACATCAAGCTACAAAAAGCTTCTGTACAGCAAAGGAAACAACCAATAAAGTGAATAAACAATCCATGGTGAGAAAATATTGGCAAACTACCAATCTGGCAAGGGATTAATAACCAGAACATATAAGGAGCTCAATAGTAAAAATAAACATGATTTTTAAAATGGGCAAAAGATTTGAATAGATGTTTCTTAAAAGAAGACATACAAACAGCAAAAGGCATATAAAAGGTGCTCAACATTACTGATCATCAGAGAAATGCAAATCAAAACTACAATGAGTAGTCCTAGCTACTTTGGATGCTGAGGCAGGAGGATGCCTGAGCCCAGGAATTCAAGGCTGCAGTGAGCTGTGATCATGCCACTGCACTCCATCCTGGGCAAGGCTCATCTCTGACAAAGCAAAGCAAAATTTTTAAAAGCCCCACAAACCACTACAATGAGATATCATCTCTAGTTAAAATGGCTTTTATAAAAAGACAGGCAATAATGGATGCTGGGGATATTGTGGAGAAAGGGAACACTCATATGTTGTTGGTTGGAATGTAAATTAGTACAAGAACTATGGAGAACCATATGGAGGGTCCTCAAAATCTAAAATCAGAACTACCATATGATCCAGCAATCTCACTGCTGGGTATATATATCTCAAAAGAAAAGGAAATTAGCATATCAAAGAGGTGTTTGCATTCCAATATTTATTGCAGTGCTGTTCATCATAATCAACATAGATTTGATATAAGTGTTCATTAATGGATGCATGGATAAAAAAATA